GCGGGTGTTTGCGGCCATGGAAGTCGTGGTCAGCTGGAGTTAAACGTGCGGCTTTCTCTGCTCCTGGGAGCGGCCGTGTCCCGCAGAGGCTGTCCGATTGCTGGCAACCACCTGGCTGCTGCTCACCCTTCTCAGAGCTCCCCCCGCTGTCAGGTGAAAGCTGACTGTGGTTGTTAGGCTCCTGACAGCTGGCTCATAAGCCTCTTCATTGATTGTCCCATCTCTCTGCTGCCTTCCCTTGCTCTGGATGAGTGGCTGTGCCTTTGGGGTGTGTTTATGTTCCCCGTTTCTCTTCCTGCCTGCTCCAGTCTTAGACCCTGGCCTCACTGCCTGTGTCCTGAGCTGCATTCCTCATCATTCATGCTCTCTATCCTCTACAGTCCTAAATGCAGGATCCGATTTTTTACCTTGTTTCCTCATTGAAATGAGCTGCTTCTGCCCTTGTTTTAACTGTAATACCCTCTTGTTCCAGGCTGTGGTTTGCATTACAGGCTCCATGATTTCAAAACCCTAAGGCTGACTTCTGGCTCCACTCCTTTCGCTGTGTCCATTGGATTTGTGGATCTTTTTGAACCTCAGTTGGCACTGACTTCTGCTTTTTAATGTTATTCCAGCCCCTACTGTTGCCTTGTCTATACCCGACAGATGCTTTACAGTCTCAGCTGAGAAGCCCTGAAGGGATTCATAAAAGTATGCTGAGAAGAGAGATGCCTCAGGCTGCAGTCAGACATAGCTGCTGACCCACAGGAAGAGCAGATTGCTCCCTGCTGTGTGAGAATGTGTCATTCAGGAGAGAATGACACCCCCTCGGATCGGCTAGTGGAACAGACCGTTGTTTCCTAACCCTTTTCTGTTGCAGTGGTCTGTGTTAAAAATGTCTAGTCTTCAGTCTTACTGCTAACCTGGATCACTGACCGAACCAGAACTAGACTGCACAGAAAATTACAGATTTGAGAGCACTGACTTTAGAAAGGAGACTGGAAATCAAGTAAATGGGGGTAGTAATCTCTTCACTTGTAAATATTTTTCTATGTCAGCCTAGGCCACTCGATAGGAAATGCCAAGGATGAGGGTGATCTAAGCTGTGTGCATTTTTAGAATATAGATGAGAGTAGAATTTGCTTGGGATTCGTAATGCCTGATCCTTGCTAGGTTGTCATCCCATTGTCACATAACAAGGTGAACAGAGGTGTCCTGCAGCCCTCCTCTGATCCATTTTCACCAGTGGCTTCTGTGCTTACTGTGCAGAGGGGGGCTCCCTCTTTTGCTTGAAAAGGGATGCAAACTTAACAGCAGGGAAGAAAAATATTTCAGCCATTTTGCTAGGAAGTATTTAGGGTATGTTGTCTGGAAGCTCTTTTTGTTAGAACCATTCAAGTTTGCAAGGAATAATTAAATATTCATTTTGAGAGATGGGAGAAGGAGCACTGCTCTTTAGCCTTCTGGTCTCAGCACTCATGTGGAGGGGGAGGAACCAGGGGTTCCAGTCTTAGCTACACTGAATACTTAATTTAATGTATTTAAATGTTAATTGGAGTCCTGCTGAGTGCCCTGAGCATTAAGCTACAGAAGTATTGCTCATTCTTGTATTTTTCCTCAGCCCAATTAATATTTAATTATTTAATGCAAATTCAAACCACCCTACAGGAACAATGGAGATTCACCTTCCTTGCAGTATTCTCTGACATGCTGATTATCCGTGTGAGGTGAGGTACTTGCACATTCAAACCTTCCCGGAGTGAATGTCCTGGATTTGAAACAAGGTCCCCCGAACTGGTAGCTGGGGGAAAGATGCTTTGTGTCACCTGTCACCCAGGTTGGTAGGTGGTCCCTTCTGGATCAGGCCTGGTTGGGGAGGGGTGGACAGATGTGTAGTGAATCCAGCCAGGGCTTAAATACGAGTTAGGATTGAGGTTGCTCATCACCGTCTAGACTGGGCTGTGTAGTACCAGGGCCTTCGTCTGTTCTGGCAGAGGTGGTAGTTGGGTCCAGGGAAATGAAAATGTGGACTTCAGCTCCTGAATTCCCTTTGTGACTGTAGTCATAAACAAAACATAGCGTCAGCCTTGCTTTTAAATGAAAATCTCTCACTGTTTTGTTTGACTTTTCTTTTTGTCGACACTACTAGAAAGCCCTGTGTGAATACTCAAACTGCTTACTGCTCTTACCTCCCAGTAACATTGCAATGAGACGAGATGTCCAAGAGGGCCAGGCTCGGTGTTTATCTCGCCTAGGAAGGCATAAGGAGGCTCTGGATATTGCAGAAAAAATGGTAAATAATACAATCTTTCTTTTAGGCTTTGAACATGAAAATATTGCCAGTAGTTCTTTTGTATGGACCATTTTCTGGAAAAATAAACTTCATGTGTATAATCCTTCAGGATGTTCCGTGCTTAGAGTATTTGGTAAACAGAGGGTAACTGTCACTGCAGATATAATCACTCTTTAGAAATCAGAACACCCTGTACCACAATGAGCTCCCTGTGTAGGGAGGCTGGTAGTCCTGGAAGGGACTAAATATCATGCTCTGCCAGGCAGAATTAATGTAATGTAATAGGAATTATAAGAAAGGGGATAAATGAGTGCTTAAATCTTTCCACTATAAAAGTGAGGGTTCAGAACTCTCTTTTAGTTCCATATACTCGCTGCCACACTGTCGCCAAGAAGAGTATCTAGCCACAAATGAATTTTTCCCATAAAGTCTGCTAGAATTTTACTGCTGCTGTATATTTGATGTAAAAGGTGTTTGCACTACAAAGAAGAGCAGCAGTATAAAACTCTGAAGACAAATAAACAAATTGCAGCGTTTGGGGGCCTTCTGGCCTTTCAGACTGGGACAAGGCAGCTAGAGGGAATGCTGTCAGCTTGATCGTGCGTGATCTGTATCACGTATCATTTAAAATAAAGAGCACAGTTTTGTACAATTTAAAAACTGCCTTTAGTGAAATTTGTGCGTCATTCAGGGAGACGTTTCTTGGGCTCTGAAGGATGATTCTGTTCTACCCTTGTTTTTAATCTGTTATCTTTTGTTTCTAGAGAAACAGTGCTACTAACACAGATCACTTAACGATGGTTCTCAACCTGCAGTTTGCCATTTACCAGGGTCTGGAAAATGTAGAAAAAAAGATAATGTGTCTGCAGCAACTGATCTGCTTACATCCTTTCAACCCTTGGTACTGGAAGTTACTTGCTGAAGCTTATATGAGCCTTTTACAGAGTTTGTCGTCCTTAGTCGTTCCAGAAACAAATCTGAACCAGTCTGAAGAGGTTAGTCTAAGTGATAGTAGTTTCAAAACGTCAACTGGAAGAGGGATTAGTTTGCAGCCTCACAGATCAGACGGCCAGAAAGAAGGCCCTTGGTCCAGCCTTGCTACAGAAACAAAGAGGGAGAATGCAGTGACTTGCAGCAGCAGCCAAGTTTTAAAAGAATTCCTCTGCACTTCAGAAGAACCGGAAAGTTTGGATGAAGGGAAGCATGCAGCCTCTGCGTCCTGGGAGCAGAACACGTCAAAGAAAGTTGAGATAAAGGCATGTGCCTCGTTCATTAGAGCAAGGTAACTAAACGAATTCTTAAAATAATGTTAACTTCTCCCAATTGAGAACAACTTAAAGCATGTTTTTCCCAGCCTTAATATTTTCAGTTTACATTTTAAACGTGTTTGTTTCAGCGTTGGCAGTGCTAACTTAGAAGCACCCTGCTCTTGCTTCAGATCTAAAAAGTAAAATCCACTAGTGTGGTAGATGTGAAAAACCTAAATCTGAGTGGAAAGAGTAAACCAGTGTCTTGCACTGCTGAGAAATAAAGCATTTTTCAGTGACCTTATTGTATTAATCTTTTCAAGTAATTATATACAAAAGTGTTTATTCTTCAACAAATGCTCCTGTTAGAGCGTGGCTGTTTCCTGGTTTGGTATTAAAGATGCAGCAGCAGAAGTACCCTAAAAGGGAAGACCAGACAGTCTTCCTTCTGTAAGTGCCACCTGTCTTATTTGCTTGAAGCCTCATGCTTGAGCAAAAATGTATTTTTGTAATAATACCCCAATCTGCATAATAGATGTGGTTGAAAAATGAACTCTGTGACAGCTGATTGACAGGGCTGCATTAACATTTTCTTTCCTTTTCTTCCCTCTCTTCCTAAAACTCTTGCACATAACAAAAATCCCCAAAACATAATCTTTCAAAAAGGTAATTAGGAACTGTTTTTGTTAAAGTAGTCTTGGATTTTTTTCCCCCGTCTTGCCTTTCAGTAATGTATTAGTCACCAAATGTATTTAAAGCCATTTTATGAACTTCCAAAAATGTTTACAGAGAGCACTTTGTAACTGCCCTGTTAGGGCAAGATTGAGAAATGTACAAAAAGACATAGTAGCTTTTAACTGTCCTCAGACTAAGAGACGGTGACTTTAATTGCTACTTGTGAGAAGTTAATAGATTTAGTACTGATATTGAATATTAAAGCTCCATTCATAGTACAAGAATTCATTTTGCTTGTTTTGGTGTGTGTGGTTTAGCACTGAGCAGTTATAAATTGTGGGATTTGCTTGCTTGACTGCACAGTCTCACAAAGTGTTACTGGGGTTTATATTTGCAGATAACACTTGTCCAGGGTAAGCTTCTCCCCTCCCCAGGGCTTATGCATTAAATAGGTTGTCTCATATTTTCAGGTCTGTTAGGTTTTAAGTAAGATGTGGATGTTGCATAAACATATGTGCAGGGTGAATTGTACCTGGAAAAGGGATGTTAGTATTGCTTTTTGTGGGAAATAAGGTTCTGTGTTAAGCCATCATGAATAATTGACTCTTCTAGTTTTGTCAAAGAAAAAAAAATTGGGAGAAACAGTTTTGTTTAAAATTTTCATTCTTTCTTTCATTATGTTGATGCAAATTTTGAAACAAAAATGCTTTACAAATTAAAAATACTTTCCATTTTTACTTTGAATTTCCCAGTCAAAACTTTACTGAATTTACAAATGTTTTGTTGGCTCAGACTTGTACATTTTGATGTTTATAATGTTCAAATGAAAGCTTTCATCTAAGATCTTAAGTCTTCTCTTCATAAAAACATACATCTTTATTATAACACCTGCTTCATTTAACTTTGGTAAATGTGATAAAAAATCGTTGTTGTTCTTTATGCATAAAGCTTGAATTAAACATAGTTTCAGTAGTAGTACTGGTCCCAGTGGTCCCTTGGTTGAATGTACTTAAACATTTCCTGTGCGGACATGTTTCGCAGTCCTTGTGTGAGGAGGACCCTGGAAACTGCCACTGCTCGCTGATCAAGCAGTTGGTGATGGGGTCCCCCGGTGACGTGAAGCCACGTTGTGAGCACAAGGTCTAATCTTCACCGAATCATCGTGGTGGTTTCTGGAGCACTGCCTTGAACATAAAACTGTGATGAAAGGTTTTAGAAAATATTCCAGGGTTGGCCTATATGGGGAGGGTGTTTGATAGTCTAAATCCCTGAGAGGACTAGCTTTTCACGTTACAAAGATAGCTACTGCCATAGGCAAAAGCGTGCTGCTGTTTTATTAGGCCTTAATAAGGATGTGGGACACCTGGTGTCCTGCAGTTAATGCTAGCAGATCTGAGCTTCACTTTTGAATTGCTTAATGAAGACATGTGGAGAAAAATGTTTGCGCAGAGGAACCAGAGATAATTTGGCATGTTGTTTATTAAAAGTACTTCTCAGTACTTCAGTCATAGCATGGATATGCCATACCCGTAATAGGTTGATATGGATATATTCACGTCTTTGCAGTTTTTGCAGTTGGCAAAAGTCAGGAAGAAATGCTGTTTTGAAAGTATTATATTTTGTTTTGTTTTAGGTTTGCTGACTTACTCTTTTGCCAGCTGCGCTTTTTTTTAACTGCCTTTTTCATTTCAGGCTTTTACTTCAGCTTACCCAGTGGCAACAGTCATCCTTTGTGCTAGAGAATAACCTAAAAGCTCAAAAAGACATTGATGAAAAAGTGGCAGGACTTGGTTTCAATGAAAACTCCTTGCTGTTGATGACCAAGGTAAGGGGACGTTTCATTGTGCGCAAGTTCTCAGCTGCATGTTATCTGGTTGAGGTACCCAAGCCAGTTCAGGCACAAAGTCCTACAAGCGTGACACTCCCCTGAGCTAATTAACTGTGCCAGGACGCAAGGTAAATTAGCTGAGCTGAGTTGCCCTGGTAGCGTGTTATCTGGAACTGACAGTGATATCCGTATAGCACTGGCTTGTGTCATGCAGGTGTGTGTGTTTCTGTTCTGCTTAGATTCTCCCTTCAGGAATGTTCAGGGTTCTTAAGTTTCCCATTATACTTATATTTGCAGATGCATCATTACTGTGCTTTTCCTGGGGTGCGGATTTTATCTCAGGAATTCCAGATGCCACAAAATAAATCACAAGCATGAAACAGAAGTGGAGATTAGTTTGATGGCTGCTGTAGTATTAAGCACTTGCAGAAAAAGTATTAAACATTTTCAGAAAAAGCCAGAGACATCTTTTTACACAATTTCTTCGTTCTGTTAGATATACTGGGTTCTAGTTTTAAAGAAATAAAAAAGAGGAGAGTAAAATTGCATGACTTTATTAATAGAGGTTACACGTTTTAGTGGTATTTGTAGAGATTCTGACTTTATGTTAAGGAACAAAAGGAAGCCAGCGAGATTCTAACTTTGCTGCCAGTATTACAGTTTTAAGTTCGTAAAAGCCAAGCCATTGCTGGGTTGGCAGCCAGCCTTGTGGGCTTTCCTCCATAAGAGGGCAGTAGCATGCAGACTATCACGGGTTTGGAAAAGGTTGGGAAAAGAAACTTCTCTCCTTGCTTCCCTTGGTCCCGACACCCCCCAGGAAGAGATCAGAGGGTCGGTGCTGTTGTAAGGTGAGCATTGAATGCAGATTTGGCGTTGAGATTTCCTCTGCTACTCAGAGAGTAAAAATTCCCCCCTTACAGGCCTAGCCAGGAGCTGGGTGGGGCTGTGCAGCTGGGAAGCTTGGGCTCTTGGTTCTCTGTGTTTATTGCAGAATGCAACAGGCAGACAACTTGATCGTGACTTGGAAACGTCTGGATGGCATGTGGTTCCTGTGTCAAGGGCTTTTCTTGTAAAGATCTGTTATTAATGTCACATTTGCTGTTTTCTCTACAAATTCTTGTTTCCCATCTTCTTTCTTACTCTGTTTGCAGGTGATGGGGCAGGATCTTATACCAGAAAAACTAAAAGAGGAATTTCAAGGTGAGGTAAAATGCATAGGCCCTTCACTACTGTCATCATTGGTAACTGCATCAGCCACAGAATTTGAAATCAAATGGTTCGGTAATCTCCAAGATGATTTATATCACTTTGACAGACAATTCTATTCAGATATATATCTCCCACTTTTGGTAACTTAAAGGTTTTGTTGTATTTATTGTCAAATCTCCAAATTATTATGGAATGTTATATGCAATAAAGTTCATATTACATTTTTTAAGAATTCTTATTGTATATCTTTGAAGAATGTATATAAATATTTGCATTTAAACTCTTTAACATCTCATAATTTTCTTTGTTCACTGATTTGATTGCATTTGAAATAATAAGGAATCCAGTACAAAATCAAGCTTTCAGTTCAGCTTTCAGAGGTAGCTTTCCATCATAAATCTCACCATGCTTGAAGCATCTGTGATTTTTTGGAGCCTGCAATGCCTGTGGGATGGAAGGCTTCCTTTACAATGTCCAGTTTGAAAGTTTCTTGGTATTAAATTCTATGTTGTTGCATTTAGAGCCATGGAATTAGCCATTTTCTTAATGCCTTTTTAAAATATTTCTTGACTAATTGACATCAGAGTGATTTCCTGTTCAGAGCTGGATAGCTTGAAATCTTAAATACATTTATACTGAGAAATTGTCAATAAGAATAATTCCATATGCTTTAGGAAAAAAATCTAAATGATAAATATTTAACTTAGAACTGGAAGGTGATTTTCTTTCTTCAAAGCTAAGTGTTTTTTGCAGGTTTAGAACTAGCTATAGTCTTGTTTTCAGCGTGCTTAGACGAGGGAGGAGAAAAACTGTCAAGGTTGTACTGAAGTGTGTTTAGTCAGATCACATCCTTTGTAAAATCCTGCAAGGAAGAGATCTTTGCTGTGAAAACTGGCAGTGTTGTTTCTGTATCATACAGATCCTTATGTTATGCTTTCAGTTGATAATGACACCACTTTGCTTTACTTTCTGAAGCATGGATGCCATGTGCTTTGGGCTTCTACAGAAAAAGGCAGAGATTATCTGTAGTTTCTTTTTCTTGAAATAATTTACATTTGAGGCAAACAAGGTGTGCTCTTCCCCCATCTTCTCTTAAACTGTGAGACTTAATTCTTTGTAGCTTTTTGTAAAACTGTTCTTTAATGGATATAGTTTAAGACCAGGAATCCCTTAGATATGATTTGCTGTGACTTCTCTTCATATCTTTCCTTGTTTTCTTTCTAAAGTACTAAAGAGTGCTGAATTTTAAATAATGCACAATTGAATGGTAATTTACCAAATGTGAACATGCTTTGTATCTGCTACTTTTAGGTGAATTTTAAAGCTTGAAGATACTGGTTAGGGAACCCGTCACTAACCCTTGGTATGGTATAGCCCTCTGCTAAGTTGTCTGTGAAACATCTCTGGAAAAATGGAATATTGCCTTAAGACATGTCAAATTATCTTTGATAGTTTGGTGACCTAATGCAATTAAACCACATCCTGGTCAGCTTGTTATGAAAGATGATGACTTGGCAAGTATACTTGGGTAAGCATTACTGCCCTCAGAAGGTATTACAGAATATTTGGTTTAGTCATGCATATGCTTTGCTAGGTGGAAATTTTTGTGTGCATGTGTAGAGCACTGTATTCGGATGGCGGTGAAGCCCACCTGAAGGGCTGGGGATGCTTTTAAGACTTAACTGGTGTCATAAGTTTTCAGTAGAGAAGGTCCATAATGTGTGCTGTAAATTAATTACAATGTCGGCATCAACAGAGGATGTCTTACAGCAAAGACATAGCAAACGTGGAAAGCTTAATGCCAAATATGTCAGCAAAAAACTGGAACAAGGACCTCTCATGGTTTCTTCTTAAACTTAGGGTCGTGAGTAGCCACATAAAAAGGCTATAATTTGTTTTGCCCCAGCTCTGGAGTAGGTTCAGTAGTCAGGACACCAGAACACAGCTTTTGTGGAACCAGGTCTGTGTAGGTATTTAATGGGAACTCGCCAAATGATTTGGCTCCACAGTTTAGAAAGAGGAAATAGCTCTGGAGCTGCTTTAGCAGCAAATTAAATACTTGCCGAATGTTGTCATTTTGTGACTGAGATGTCCAAAATACACAGCAGCTAGCCAAAGTGATTTGGAAACTTTCTGGTGTGCGTGCGGATTGCGTGACTTGAGGTTGTCTCTTAGACTGGCAACACAACAGTTAACTCCCCAGGGCTCCGGGAGTGGAAAGCAAGTGGCAGTTCTTAAGGTCAGGCAGTATTTTCTCAAACCTAACAATAAAGCAAAAATGTTGGCTTTAACTACTGCAAAGAAAACAACATGAATGTTGTTCTGAATGTGTCGCGTAGTTACTGTTCCCAGTAACCAGTGTTTATTGCACTGAGGCTATGAAATATTCCTTTGTCCTGCCTGTGCCTAACTATCTATCATCTCATCTCAGCTACTTCAATTCCTCCTTTTTTGGCCCGCTCCTCGCTTTTTTGGCATGCCACTTCTAACTCCAGTTTTCTGTTTCTGATCGTATCTCATGAAGGGCTTTGCATTTCCATCTTGCATTTGGATGCCTCATGGTTGCTTCTACATTCTGCATAATTCTACATCTGCCTGTGATATATTTATTCATGTTTTGGCTCTTACGATATTATTATTGGTATCAGTACATGCACCAGTACTCCACGCTGAGTCAAATACCAAATTTTAGTATTACAAACTGCACGTGAGAATACATTAACAGTTACTGAGGTTTGATTTTGTTGTTTTAACACTTATTCGTATTACAGACCTTTTGGCAAGGACCCTCTGACCCTGGTTCTGATGCTTCTCAAACGATTGCTGTGTACAAACGCAATCTAATTGTGTGTCTTGCTATTCAGTGTTTGAACACCGCTGGCTTTGAGGTGAGGGAACATGTTAGCGCTGTAACTACCGGCATTAACACAGTTTTCTCCATCACAGAATCATAGAATGGTTTGGGTTGGAAGGAACCTTTAAAGATTATCTAGTCCAACCCCCCTACCATGGGCAGGGACACTTCCCACTAGCCCAGGTTGCTCAAAGCCTCATCCAGCCTGGCCTTGAACACCTCCAGGGATGGGGCATCCACAGCTTCTCTGGGCAACCTGGGCCACTACCTCACGACCCTCATAAAAAAATTTCTTCCTTATGTCCAGTCTAAATCTGCTCTCTTCTTTTAGTTTAAAACCATTGCCACTTGTCCTGTCTCTGTGTGGTGGATTGACCTCAGCTGGCTGCTAGGTGCCCACCCAGCCATTCTATCACTCCTCCTCCTTAGCACAACAGGGGAGGAGAAAATCAGATTAAAAAAAAAAAACTAGTTGGTTGAGATAAAGGAAGTTTGATAAAGAAAAAGCAAAGGCTGTCTGTGGAAGCAAAGATTTAAAAAAAAAAAATTTGTTCTCTACTTTCCATCAGCAGGCTGCTGCAGATGAAATGTCTCACACAGTTACAATTTAGCAACAATTTAAGCTTTATTAATGGTGTGAGGTAAATCAAAGGTTTTAATCAGCTTTTAATGGTTGATTAACTCAAAGATTAACAAAGTGATTCAGTAAAAATATATTTTTATTAGAATAGGGACTTAATTACAGATTTGAGAATGACAAGATTCACACTAACTTACTACAGTGTATCCTAAATATATATACGTGTATGTACAAAGCATGCGAAACACAGAGACAGACAAATAATCAGCACGAAAGTATATTTGGATCTAGGAAAATATGTAAGCAGAGGAGCAAGTGTATAATCAAAAGGTTCTCTCTTCTCCTTCTATAAAAGAGGTAGATAGAGGAGACTAGCCTACAGTTAGAAGTTCCCCCTTCTCGGGTTTAGAGCAAATACAGTGCATCAGCATTCCTCAGCGGGCAATGCTTGAGCCTTGAGAAGTCAGACTTCACCCAGGCCTGTCGTGGCCTTTGTCAGCAGATGGTCCTTAGACCTGGTTGGTCCTGAGAGGTGTCCCGGCTCAGGGAGGTGCTGGCCACAGCCCGCTGCCATCCGGGAGAGCTCAAAGGGTCTCCTTTTTGGTTGCTGTTTCCAGGGTCTGAGATACTTGACTTTTGTCAAGAACTTCTCCATTTCAGCCCACCTCGGCTGATTCAGCGCTCTGGTGTGTTACACAAGCTGCCAAAGTGTATCATCCCCCTCAGGCACAGGTCCAGCTGCAGGTACAGGAGGTTGTCAGGAGGTGATTTACTGTCACCATTGTTTGAAGCAGGAGCTGGGTACATGGAGGGGTGCCCAACGCTGTGGTTCACCACCACAGTGGGGAGCAGGAACCAGGGACACCAAAGGAGCGCTGCGGTGCTTGGTTTCACAGCTTCACAGCCCGTTCCTGACTCACCCTAAATTGGTGTATGACCCAGGAGGGGAAGGGTCGCACCAGCATCAAGTGGCCCAGGAGAGGGGGGGGTTGCACCACTGCACAGGCAATGTCATTGCAAAAATGAATACGTGAGTAGTCTTAAGTTTGCTTATGAGGAATCAAGAGTTGTTACAAGCAAATCCATTCTGGTAACAATTTGGCAGCCCAGGTGGGACTCTGCAGGTTCACAACCTGTGGCAACGGTACTGTGTGAGTTCACCCAATTGTCCTTGCAGTATCTGCATTCCCTGGGAAAGGTACTAAAACTGGGGGCAGCACAAGTCATGGGGGGTTCAACAGGTAAGGTAGAACGGGGTACACCGCTGGTGGAAATTCTGGGGAACCAGAAGAAAATTGACAGTACCTCAGGACTCAGTAGTTTGAACTGTAGTTCTCTGTCGGGATGAGTGGCCAGCTGGAGCTTGGGAGGGGACACCCATCGAGCACTGGCCCCTGTGAGGTTCATTTGCTGTGAGTTAACTGACTTTCCTGCATCGTATGTGATGTGGTATAAGTCAGAATTGCCTCACAGGGTAAATCCCTGCTGACTACTCCCCATCACCTTCTCGTCCTTCACAGGACAAACTGGAAGTTGTTTCCAGGATCTGTTGCTCCATCACTCCTCAGGGATGGAGGTGCAGCTGGGAGCCCTAGCGAGAGTCATTGTGGTGGGTTAACCTGGGCTGGCTGCGTGGTGCCCACCCAGCCTCTGGATCACTCCCCTCAGCAGGACAAGGGGGAAGAAAATCAGACGGAAAAAACTTGTGGGTCAAG